GGAAGGTTGGCGGGAAGGTTGGCGGTCCGATCCCCGCCTGCTCCAGTCTGGTTGCCAAATATCCTTGGGCGTGATACTGACCCCAAGCTGCTCTCTGAAGCCTCCCTGTGCATGTGACTGTTAGAAAGCAAGAGCTCAGGTAGATTAGCACAGGAACATCTACTGCGTGACACACACACAGATACCTGCTAACACCATGCCACCATGTTATTGGTCAGATGATGTCATTAAAGGCTCTGACGGCCTTTAATGACATCATCTGACCAATAACAGATGATGTCTGTCAGTGTGAGGCAGCTGCAGCGGCCTGATCAGTCACTGCGCTGCATGTTGGTGTGTTTAACCTGAAGCCCCTCCCTCACCTGCAGAGTGTGACTGCAGAGGAGGACACTGCGACCCGCGTACAGGAGAGTGTCGCTGTCCCGACGGGATGACGGGCCGACAGTGTGACGTCTGTTTGCAGAGGTACAGCGTCCCGACGGAGGACCGGCACGGCATCCACTGCGAGCGTGAGTCTCACACACTCAGAGGCTCTTTGCAGCGTTTGTAATCCGGTGAAGCTCAGCGTGTGCGTTTTTCTCTCAGTGTGCGACAGCTGTGTTGTCGTGCTGCTGGAGGATCTGGAGAGGCTCGACGACGACTTCCTGTCGGCGTCGGCTCGGCTGAGGAGCCTGAACGCCAGCTCCGTGGCCCGGGCTCAGCTGCAAAGCCTCGACAAGTCCATGGAGGACGCCGCTGTGAGTTCACGCACAAGCACACACCTGAGGCTGCGAGCACCGTACTGCAGGGGCACTAATCAAACTCACTTTCCCATGATTCAGCGGACCATTGAGGACTACAACAACACACTGCAAGACAGCCTGAGTCGCACCGACATGCTGGAGGCAGAAATCAGCACCATCAGTGAGGACATCGACGAGCTGCAGAACAAAGTGAGGAGCGCACACACACACACACACACACACGATTGTTCCGATGGTCCAGATCCACACTTTGGGAGCGCCTCCTGTAAAGGCCCGCTCTTCTCTGAGCTTTAATCCTGAGCCAGGGCAGCAAGGAGGGCGGGGTCTGCTGTGTCTCCGGTGGTGCATTCACGGGTGATCGGAAAAACCTGACTTCGTGATGCAGACCTGTCACCGGGCCGTAGGCTAACGCTAACATCCCAGACTCACGGCGACGATTCCTCCACGCCAGTTCGGTTTCCGTTTGTTCAAACTGTCTGTCGACGTTTTACAGGCAGCAGGAAGAAGAGCACACAGGTTTGTATCACACGTGCGTCATTAACACACATAAAATCTGACAGCTGTCTTTTTTTCCAGACGTCGGCGATGACCAGCCGGGTCGGCGAGCTGCACAGTGGCACAAACAGAACGTACCGGCGGGCCGAGGATGTGTTGTCCCTCCTCAGGAACGTGAGCGCCAATATAAACGGTACGGCGCGAGAACCGAGTTTCAAATCTGAAGACCTGACAGGAGGCAGAGCGATGCTTGGACCCTTGTGCTTGTGTGTCCACAGAACTTCTGCTGAGGTCGAACAGTTCTTCGCTAAACGAGACGGAGGCAGAGGAGGATGGCGAGGAGAGGGAGAGGAAGATGAGGGAGGTGCAGGCCATGCTGAGGGAGATGAGGCACAGGAGCTGCACGGGTCAGAAGAAGATGGCCGACAACGAGAAGGCAGAGGCTGAGAAACGTAAGTTTATTCATTTTAATGAGCTGTGATGAGCACGCTCAGTCTAACCCACAGACCGATCTGACGAGAGAGACGACCTTCAAAGTAAAACAAGAAAGTAGGGCTGCACGATTAATCGTTAGAAAATCGCGATCTCGATTCATACTTATGTGCGATCTCATTTCCAAATGACAACGATTAAAAAAAAAGACGACGATGGCGATTGTACTGCATTTTGATCCGGGACGTAATCTGCATGAAAACAAGCGCTCACTCTTCCTGCTCAACACATGTCAAGGGCGGAGCCTTATACCACGTGATACAGAAGCTATGCCGTGTGATGCTATAACATTAGCAGGAAAAACAACGGAGAGCACGTCAGGGATGACGAGAAAGTGACAGGAGAAAATCTGTCCCGGTCAACCACCCAAACACCAATAACGGGAACCTTATACAGCGCTTCCCTATACCCGTCGAACTCCCGCAGGCACAAAGACATCACGGAGGCTATCACTTATCACCTGACCAAAGATATGGCTCCATCAACACTGTGCAAAACGAGGGATTTAGGAAAATGATCAGCACCCTAGACAAACGCTACACAGTGCCGTCCCGCAACTATTTTTCTATTGTTGCACTACCTGCTCTGTACACGCAGCGTCGAGCAACGGTGGAGACGGAATTTCAAGCAGTGCAGCATTTTGCTGCAACAACAAAACGTGAGACATTTGTTGTTTTATGTTTATTTATTGTTTTTATGTTCAGTCTCAACTGTTACGAAGTTGATGTGCAGTTAATAAGTGCAATAAATATTTATACTGGAAAAGAAAACAGTGAGAGAATCGTGATCTCAATTCTAAGCCAAAAAATCGTGATTCTCATTTTATGCAAAATCGTGCAGCCCTATAAACAAGAGAACTAATACAGAACCAGGACATTAACACAGGAAGAGACCGAACAGACCCAAACTCTGCATGAAGCAGAACTCGCAGAACGGGATGAAACATTCGACAGTGTCAGGAGGAACCAGACGCGCTCTGAGAAGACATGAACATTAGATCAGGGTCACAGACGACGAGTTAAACTTCCAGCAGCTCGTCGGACCTGTGAACCAGCTCACACCTGCCTGAGAACGAGGGATGAAGTATCTGCTGTAACATCTGGATGTTTGATGGTTTTATTAAATGTCTCTGACTCGCTGCTGATGTCACTTTAGCGTTTAAAAGCTAATGAGCAGGTTTGTGTTTGAGCTGACAGGACGCCCGTCTGTGTCTTGTGTTCTCGTAGTGTTGGATCGGGTCAGCAGGCTGCTGGTGGACCGTCACGAGGAAAACGACAACCTAACTCGATCCATCAGTGACCGTCTCTCCCGCTTCCACGCTGACACGATGGACCTCCGAGACGCCCTGAATGAGGCCGTGAATAACACGGCGAGAGCTGCCGAGATCAACAACGCCAACGAGAAAAGCCTGGACGACCACAACGTAAGAGCAGCAGAGGAAGGAACATGGAGAACGTGGAGAACACCAAGTGATGACTAACCGCTGTCTGTCTGTCTGTCAGAGGAGGGTGGTGGACCTGCAGATGAAGTCAACCGAGGTGAGAAAACAGCTGAACGTGTCTGCAGATCACCTTCATCAAGTCAACAACGACGTGTGGTCCATGGTGCAGAACTCCAAAGAGGTTTGAATGTCACACATTAAACTTGTCTGTGTGTGCATGCGTCACAGATTTACAGGGGCCGCTTCATCTTCAGCAAAGCCGTGATTCAGCCCTCAAAGTGTTCTCAGTCTGCCGGAATCTACGTCCTACGTCCTAACTACTAACAGTGCTAACACCTGCTAACAGTGCTAACACATGCTAACAGTACTAACACCTGCTAACAGTGCTAACACCTGCTAACACCTACTAACAGTGCTAACACCTACTAACAGTGCTAACACCTGCCAACAGTGCTAACACCTGCTAACAGTGCTAACACATGCTAACACCTGCTAACAGTGCTAACACCTGCTAACACCTGCTAACAGTGCTAACACCTGCTAACAGGTGCTAACACCTGCTAACACCTGCTAACAGGTGCTAACACCTGCTAACAATGCTAACACCTGCTAACAGTGCTAACACATGCTAACACCTGCTAATGGTGAACCATGGCTGGTTACAGCTCACAGATCTGAGGCTGGAGCTCGGACTGTTTCGTTGCTCTGGCAGGCTCAGAATCAGAATTCTTGTTGAAGATCAAAAACTTTCTTCTTTAGGTCTTTACCTCCCCTTGACCAGGCTACGTCCCCTTCAGCTCTTTCTCTCCCTCAGGAGTACGAGCACCTTGCAGCTCAGTTGGATGGCGCCCGGATGCTGCTGGCCCAAAAGGTTCAGAATTTGTCTCAGACTAACTCTAAAATCCCGCTGGTGGAGAAGGCGGAGAAGCACGCTGAGCTGCTCGGCGCCCTGGCCATGAACCTGTCCAGGTAGGTGTACGACATTTAGTTCTTGTGCTTATTGAAACCAAACCAAAAGCTGTGTGCGTCTGTCTGCAGTTTGATCGCAGAAACAAAGAAGGACGGATTCATAGACGTAACGCAGTCGTACAACAAGATCGTCGTCAGCATCGAGCAGGCCGAGGAGGCCGCCAAGATGGCCAGCGAGGCTACCAACAGCACATTAGAGGTAAAAAAACAAAACAAAATCACAAGTTTGTCCTTTCAGGTGACTTTAAAAACCGAAACTGAAAGTGTGTTGGTCTTGTTTTCAGAGCGTGAAGGGCCAGAACCTCGGTCAGAAGGCAGAGTCTCTGAAGAACCACAGCATGGATCTGAAGGATGAAGTGGAGAAGCTGAATGATGACCTGAACACCAGTAAGCCCAGTTTGGATTGCAGAGATTCATAAAGGAACCCTTTCATCTTCAGTTTGCATCACCTTCGTTTTTCTGCTGCAGCTCTGAGGCCACGACTGGAAGATGCTCAGCGCCGGCTCCAGGACGCCAAAACCAAACAGGTTCAACTGACCGAGGACCTGGAGGCGCTCCAGAGCAACCTCAACGCCACCAAAAGTACGACTGTTTAAAACACGTTGCGCTTACACAATTTGGGTATTTAAGGTTTCCCACGTGACTCCTCACCGCTCACGGCTTCCTGTCATCTTCTTCTTCTGTGCTGCTCAGACATCAGTGCACAGGTCAACGAAGCCAAGCAAACAGCGGCTAAGGCAAACAGGACGGCCACCGGCATCAACGACACCCTGCGTCCTATCAAAGAGAAGCTGGATGAATGGCAGCACACTTACGGAGACGCCAACGCCACGAGCGAGGACATCAACACCGCCCTGATGGACGCCAACAACACCGGTGAGTGATAAACGCTCGCTGCCATGCGCTGTGGGGATGGTCGAAAGATTTCAGACCCGAGCACAGGCAGACGCAGAAACTGAGGTCAGAGTGAGATTAAATCCTGATAAATCAAAACAATCGATCCAAAATCCGACTGATCACAGAGATTCCAAACAGCTGGAGCGAGCCAGAGACAGTAAATACAAATGGCAAAAGGAAGTAGATCCAAATACAAAGCATGAGTCTTTCAAAATAAAACAGGAAGCAACCAAACACAGAGATAATGTTTGAGCATATGAAAAGCTAAGAAAAATTCGGGACTGAACCAACGAAGACCCAACATACACTCAAACAATCAAACGAAGAACTAACATTATATAAAATAATAAGACGGACGAATTCCACAAACGTCTGAACTGTCCAGAGCACGACTCACCTGAATGTCTTTGAATTTCAGGACTTTAGGAAGAAATGAGCAGTTTGAAAGAAATGATGAATTATTTAATTTGATTTTATGTATATAACACCAAATTACAGGAACAGTTCAAAGTTGCCACCTGCCACAACTGTTTGGGGGTTATTTATGAGCTCCACCAAAATAAAAGCATGTCAAACTGAAAACTGCGACTAATGACAGACATCTAATATTCAGGAACCACAAATGAAACTCGTCTCTAATCATTCATCAGGTGGCTGAGCCCACCAAAGGTTAGGCCGTGGTTCTGTTTGAGCTGCACATCTCAGATTGTAATTTTTTTAATTGAGTGTCAGACATTAATTTTGTTTGCCTTTGAAAGGTGTTCCAACCAGGTAAAAAGGCCTGGATGTTACCTGAACACTCACGTAGGGGGCGCTGGTGAGACATGAGCTGTAAATGTCTGTCTGTCTGTCTGCAGTGCACAGGCTGGGTGAAGCTATTCCTGAACTCTTGAAGAGGCTGGGCGACCTGCAGAATTACTCTGTTCAGATGCCAAACATCTCCGAGAACATCAACCGCATCCGACAGCTCATAGAGCAGGCGCGCAATACTGCCAACAAGGTACACCCACAGACTGTATAAAAAGATGGACAGAGCCAAATATGTGGCCATATTTGGATGCTATTGCTAGCTAGCTTGGTTATCACAGATACCTGCTCATAGTGCTGAGTTGGGCGCTGTGTTAGTGCAGTGACCTCACAGCAGCCGTGTTATTGGTCACATGATGTCATTAAACATGCTCCTAAAGACTCCAACAACACGGTCCAGAGGTCCAGTTTAGCCTAGCCGACAGCTAGCAGCTACAGCCACCTGTGTCAGCACCCACCTGTCTATAGAGGCCAAACAGTTTGTGCATGAGGCTGTAAACATGTTTATTTCGAATGTAAAATTTTGACATGGGAATGACTCACTGCTGCCTCTGCTGGACGTCAGAGGAACTGTAGGTTTGATTTTTTAGTCCTGGAGGTCAGTGCTAGGTGTTTCCATCAGAGGTCCTTATCACAATCAGATTACTTTATTAATCCCTAAGGAAATTACGTCATTCTAATAGTCTTTTATCGTCATTGTACATGTACAGCTAAATTGTGGGTCCTAATAAAATATAAATCATAGACAACAGAGAAATATACACAAAATCATACACAGACACATTGGAGAACAAAATACTGGCAAAGTGATCGGAGGCAGTGGAAAGGACCGAGTGTGAGTGGGCTGAGGGATAAGGGTTACTCAGACCATGGCTCAGATTGGTGAGGTCGGTGTGTAGGGGTGGGGTGTGGGGGCGGGGCCAGTGTTTGTTAACAGTCTGATTGGCTGTGGGGGAGGAAGCTGTTAGTGAGTCTGGAGGTGTGGGAGACTGAGGAGTGGGAGAAGGCCAGCAGCGGGACACGGAGGAAGTGCAGCCGCTGCTCGACCTTCGTTACCAGGGCGATGGCGTTGTGGGTCCAGGTGAGATCAGTGGAGATGTGGGTTCCCAGAAACCTGAAGGTGGAGACGGATTCCATTTATACTGAGAGGGGAGCGGACCTGTCCTGACGTCCATTACGAGTTCTTTTCCTCCTTCCCCATCCAGGTGAGCGTATCCATGAAGTTCAATGGGAGATCAGGCGTTCAGGTGCGTACGCCGCCTAACCTGGCTGACCTGGCTGCTTACACATCCATGAAGCTCCACATCAAGCTGCCGGACGCAGTGCGGACGCGGCGACAGGATGCTTCCAACAGTCAGTTTGTGTTTTACCTCGGCAACAAGAACGTAAGTGTGAGGACAGATTGGACTTCATGTCGCTCGTCAAGTCTGTCAGTCCTCGTCGGGGTGTGTCTTTATTAACTGGGACAAATTTAGGACTCGTGAACATCGGAGGTGTCGTGTATTTTAAATCTGTGTTTGTGGTTTGCAGCCGGGTCAGGAGTTCCTGGGCATGGCGTTGGTGGGGAAACGGCTGCACTGGTACTTTAACGTTGGAGGAGAAACTGCAGCTGTGAAGATGAAAAACGACATCCAGTCCAAAGGAAGATTCAGCACCGTCTCCCTGGAGAGGTGAAGCGCACGATGTAACACAACACGGTGTCATTCGATTAAACATGAATGTTTATGCTAGCTGTGTGCAGGAGTTGTAGCATTGATCTGCTCCGGTGTTGGTGCGCGTAGGATGCTGCAGCACGGTCTGATGTCCGTATCTGTGGACACCTCAACCAGCAAATACTCTGAGAAGGCTGAAGGAGATCAGGGGCTCCTCAAACTCTCGGCCAATGACACCGTCTTCTATGTGGGAGGATATCCGAATACTTTCACAGTACGTACTGGAAGAGCTGTAAACCCACCAGTTACAGAGCGTTTCTGCATGTTATGCTTATTTTAGTCAGTACAATAAAACTGAGCAGGTGCCAGAGTGAGAATAACTGAGAACGCCTGTGTTGGTACGCAGGCTCGTTGATGTTTACACATTAGTGCCTCGACCACAGGAATAATGAAGAGCTTCCACTTTCTCTGGTGTTTTTGTCTTTAGCCACCTGAAGTGCTCGCCCTGCCCAACTTTAAGGGCTGCATTGAGCTGGACTATCTGAACGAGGAGGTGATCAGTCTCTACAGCTTTGTGGACGTCTTCAATCTCAACACCACGGTGGACATACCGTGTGCCAGGTCCGTCTGCTGTTCCTGCATCTCATTTCAGTATCATTGTGTAAATGCAAACGTTTGTGTTCTTTCTGTTGAATTTAAGCTTATAGCTGAACACTGACGCTCACAGCAAGGGCGTGGATTTGGTTTTGGCGTTGGTGGGGACGGATGATTCAACCACCGAACCCTGCCCTGTTTCTTTGTTTTTCCTTTTTGTTTTTGCTTCTTAATAAAAAGAGGAGAAATATACTTGCCTACATGTGCTATTCTACGTGCTTTTAAACCGTTTAAAATCACAATTCATAGTTGAATTATTAAACAAATGACTAAGTATTTCAGGCTTTAGTTTACTTCAGCCATAATCCATATAAATCAGGTATCATACAAAAATAAAAATAGCTTCAAATAAAAGAACAATAAAAGAATATGACTTTAAGGACTTAACAGCATTACTTCAGTTACACCAACATCTCTGACACATCAGCACTAAGGCAACACTGAGTGACCTGCTGGGTTTTGTCCATAAAACTACTCGTCTAAGATGACCACAGAGTCAAAGATCTCTCAGCAACATTATGCAACAGTTTAGGCACTACTGCCCAATCAGATCAGTGAGCTGGGATTTTTTTATTCTAAGCATGAGCTACTGTTACAGCAACTGACATTAATACTACTGGTGTCCCACACAACAACTCAACATCCACTATGTGAAGCAGCCAAACACAGGCCTGCTCCTCTCGTTAACTGAGATAAACTGCTGGCATGTTGGTTTTACATCTATACTGTCCAGCCTGTCCTGGTGGACACACAGCAGCATTGTTTAATCCCATTTGAGTCATTGTGGACCTTAGCCCTGTTTTTAGTCTTCTGAGACCACTGAAGCTTCTTTCAGCCTCAGTACCTGCGTTTTATCCTCAGATTAAATAATTATTCTGTGCGTGATGTGCCTCACCTTTGGCCCTGGCTCCTCCCCTCTGACTGCACTAGGATATATTGCCACCTGATAAAATAACACATTGATTCGTGCCATATAAAAGTGAGACGTGTCAATTCAGATTCTTTGTCAAATATACACTAATGAAACAATTTACATCAGCAGCCTGACAACTGTCATGATAATAAATACTAGTTAATCTATAGCACCAAACCATCAGTCAGTCACCTGTGAGCTCGCCTCTTCACCTCTGAGCTACAACATGGCAGAGCTGCCTGTCAGCTGATGAATAACAGTGAGACACTCCACATACATGCAGTCACACATGTGCTTCAAATACAGTCATGAACCAACAAGTCATCATTTCACCTGTGACCTTGTGTCACCATTGCTCTGAGCTTTGTGTTGGTTCTTCACCTGACAAACAGGACAAACATGACAATAAGGATAAAATGTGGAGCTGCTTCAGTGTTTCTGTCACTTTGTGCAGATCTTGACTCGTCAGTAATGTTTGTAGGCTGAGTGCATTTTTAAACTGTGCAAACTGCACTACAAGGTGGAATATTTGCAAAATCATGACGACCTCATGACATTTTGTCTCAAACATTAACCCTATGAATACGTCAGAGCCATTAGGATGAAATTATCGTGTCAGCAACATGTTAACGTTAGACATATAATTCTAACAGCCTCTGTAAACTAATATCCGGGCTGCTCGAGGCTCCGTTTTCTCTGACAGCTTCAATCAAAATGAGAAACGCTGCTCTGAGACTGAGAGAACCAACAGTGCTGCCTGCTGTGCAGGTAGTTTCCCAAACACGTTCATGGTTACGTACAGTTTCAGACTGATGTGGGCCAAAGCCTGGCACAGCCTGGAACGTTATTGTGACACATTTTATGAGTGAGCTTGGCTTTAAGTGACTGACAGGTTTCTTTGAAAAACACTTTCTTACATCCAGCTTCTTCCTCTTTGCTGCCGTCCTCCTCACAGCGCAGGTTTACCGCTGCTGAAACTAAACAGAGCTCCCTGAAAGGCTCAGCCAATCACATTGGCCATAATTGTCACATGATGTAGGACTCCAGTAGAGGACGTAATTTAACTCTTTCTGCTCTGCTGGGTGAACGCTGACAGATCGTTTTTTTTCTTGTTTTTCTTTACTCGAAGAGATCAAATTATTGGTGGGGACAATTCAATAATCGCTGGATATTGGTGGGGACATGTCCCTTCCGTCCATGCCAAATCTACGCCCTTGGCTCACAGACGAGTGGATGAACGTTCATCACTTATTAAATGATGACTTTACAAAAAAAGAAAGTTTTCATCATTTTGTTATTTTCTGAGATACTCTGGTGTGTTTCAACTCCTAACTTTGTCTCTTAAATATGTGTGTGTGTTTAACAAACAGGACAAGAACCACCTCTGAGCCCTATGTCAGTGATGGAGCGTACTTTGATGGGACCGGCTATGCAAAGTTTAATTTTTCTCAGTCAGGAAAAGGTTACTTCGTGCAACAGGAAATCAAACTGCAGTCACAGAACGGGATCCTGCTGATGATGCAGAATGAGGTAACGCTGCTTATACGCTCACAGACCCTCAGAGGGCTGCTCACCTGTCCTTGTAAGCCCCGCCCCTATTATAATGAAAGAAGATGCTAGTTGCACTTCCTTATTCACAGCAGTGGGTGCTCTTTACACACAATCCCCTACAGTTCATAGCAAAAATGCTGAAGGCCGTAACACAGAATAGAATAGAATAGAATGGGTTTATCGTCATTGTACCTACAATGACATGACAGTGTTCCTCCTGTATCAAATCAAATCAAATCAAATCACTTTTATTGTCACATCGCATGTGCAGGCACACTGGCACAGCACATGCGAGTGAAATTCTTGTGTGCGAGC